GGCAGACGAAAGGCAGCTGTTCCTAAACGTTCAAAGGAGAGAGCAGGAAGAGCGTGGCACCAAATGCCACCATCTCACATTCCCGGGGCCCTCTGCTCGGCTTACAATTCCACCGGTCTAGCATCCAGGGAGCCTTTAATCTGGATTCCCGAAATGCGCAGGGGTTGGACTTCACGGCCTCCGGGATCCTAGGAACACAGCACGGGGTTGGGGGGGTGGGAAGCTATTATTGTCCCACTGTTGGGAATTAGCTGTCCAGGAGATAAGTATTTGGGGAGGGGGCTTTTGAAAGCACAAGGAAAAACCAGACCGGCGTGCTCTGGGCAGGGCAGGAAAACGAACCTTTCTCTCTCCTTCTTGAATTTTTATCCGAGAGGAAAAGGTGGGCCGATTGAAATATTGGGAATCCGGATAGGTTTTGATCTGGGTTGCCCTGGATGGATAAATCTATGCTCTGCTACTCCAGAATGGGGGCAGGCATTTCGGTTACAGGTTGTATCTGCCTATCCCTGCAGGTAGAAAGCGCGCTCATTTTTCTTGAGAGGCTGATTTTCTAGGGGCAGGGATTTATGATTATTTTTTTCCCCCTCTGTGGAGGAGCACCTCATTTTCCCCACGTGGCATCTGCTGTTCAGCTGTGTTGTGACTTGCTGGCATATTTTCATTTTATCTTCTCCAGCAGTGGCAGCTGATCAATAAAACTCAGGAGCACTCACTTAATCTCTGCTTTTCTTCGGCACTTTAATTACCCTTTTGTGAAATGGCTTAATCGCTGCTTGGCAGCGTCCACCTCCAGCAAGGGCTTTACCGATGCCGGGGAGATTACGGCTTGTCCCTGCAAAGTTTCCGTGAACCAAATGGAGGAGGAGTTTGCTACTTTTTGGGGCGGGGGGGGGCGGAGACAGAACCGGGCGACGAAGCGTTCTGTGCAATTCAAAAGCTTGCACACTTTTGCAGGGACCAGCCGGTGGCCGGAACAGATGCTTCCTTTCCACGTTTGAAGATTAAAACCTTTCATGCGCCACGGCACCCTGTTTCAGCAACAGACCTCTCTGTGTGCTAAACTGAGCAACAGAGAAGGAAATGCATGGGGTTTGCAACGGGTCTTTAGTGTGGAGCTGCAGAGGTAATGCCAAAATAGCCTCTGAACATGTGCTGATGCTTTTATCGTTGAGAGCTCTCTGTTCCCTTATCCACAGACAGAATGGACTTCAGTAACCCAGCTTGAGTGGAGGGGAAAGGCATTTGCTGCAAAGACACCTTCTAGTCCAGTGTTTCTCAACCTTGGCAGCTTTCAGAGGGGTGGACTCCAACTCCCAGAATTCCCCAGCCACCACGCTGGCTGGGGAAT